CAAGGTCGTTGTTGGCTAGATACGAATCATGGCCATTTTCTTGAACCAAGATCGATCCACTCGCTATCTTCGTCATCGTCGAACGAAATGGCCAGTGGGAACCTACTAGATTCAAAATCAGGGGTAGCGAATTAAAAGAAAGAACGTCGTCGATTCGATTGATGCTTGGAGTGGCGGATCAAGAGGGAAAAATTGGCAACATTCGCCTCTTCTAGTAACTCAAGGAGAATGAACAATTTTACATATTTCACTTTGTGAGAGAATTCATATTAAATATCCGGGTTGAGTCATCGATTTTCCAATTTATTTACATGTACATATAATAGCTTTTTCATGGTTCACGTATTCTTCGGTAAAATAGACTTTTACGCCTAATTCTCTGGATCGGAATTTTTAAAAACGTTCAACGACTGATATTACGAAATTGAAAAAGCAAGGGTGCCTCACTGCACCCTTTTAAAAATCAAGAATTAAAAAAAGTAGCCTGTGATACCAAAAAAGTCGTGAATGAAAAACGTCGTGAAACCCATCGATCGATTAACTCGGTCAAATTATTGAAGAGGTTCATCGCTATTTGAAATCCTATTCAAATGAAGGTATACATCTGTCCCAAATCTAATAAATAAAGACAATAGTGTTTAGTTATTGACAATATATATAATATTTATATTTGGAAATGCATGAAAATTATACTTTACCCTTCCATCGAAATCAATTTCAAATCACCGCCAAAATATCTTGCGTACTGCATGCATTATGACGAGTGTGTTTTTTTTTTGTTTAAAAAAAAGAATAAAACTTTCATGAGCGTTCGATCAACAATTAAAGAAAGAAAGAAATATAATATGGAACCTACCAGTCTACTAATTGGCAGCCCGTAACCAAAACCGGCCATGGGCGCTCTGAAATCTGATTGGTCAAATTCGGGATCCAGCCTTCTCGCCTTGGCTGTCGTGTACATGTACGTCCACACCAAGGGAATGTTTCTTCGTGGGATGCCACCTCCTTCATCAGATATTTTCACCGTAATGTCCTGAAAATAAAGAATACATAGGTTGACATATGACATCGGTGTAATACTTGAAGATCGAGCTTATCGTGACACATATGTCTATGAACGATCGTCTACCTCTTTTCCTTCCGCGACGATCACCTTGATTGGCGGGTATTCATCGACATCGTTGCCAAAGAATTCAACCACCGCACGTAGGCTATTCTTTAATAACTCAAATAACATGTGACTTAGATGCGATGGTACATAGGTGAAAATTAATTCATCGGGGCAGTATAATTGAATTTCGGGCGCGCGGAAAAGACCATAATAATCTTCACATATGTTTTTTGCATTTTCGGCTGCTTCCAGAACAGTTTTGGAGATATTCGTTTTAGTGCAAATGATACCCACATAATCGGATAGTGTAGGGAGTCTGTTCAACGCGACATGTTGACCTTCAAAAAAAAAATTTGCGAAACTTTAGAAGGATTTCACAGGAAGAACGTCAGCAATAGAAGAATGTTATGACTTGAACCAACCGATAAGCATGCGAATACCGATACGCGACATGTAAAAGCGATCCAAGAACGACTGAATGTCCGTATCTATCAATTCTGATGATTTATTCTGTTTATACTCCTGAATTCCTTGAGCTAAGGGTTAATAAATTGTGAGAACAACGTCTGTAAACAAAAATACTCAAGTTGTCCGTAGGAACGACCGCATCTTACCCTAAAATGATAATAATCATTTGTTAAATTGGATTGAGCGAGTGCATGATCAAATAATAATCATAAAGATGTTACATGCGCAACGTACCACTGTGGTCACAACTGGATCATGCCGTTTCTTAATTTCTTCGATTAACTTTGTAAACTTTTCATTATAAACGCGAACTTC